ATGAACGGAAGGTACAAGATATGGCGCACAAGCTAATGCTGGCACATAGATGCGAAGCGGCGATATTCGCAATTGGCCAGGAAATCATGCATCATTTATCGATCCAGCATGTATTGCACGTAGAATTCATTCTAGATGTGTGTGCTGCATCGTACAGTAAGTCTAGCGAAGCAGACTATGAGCCTTGGAAAGCCAGGCAGAAATCAACTATCCAAAGCACCTGTCCTTGTCAACGCAGTCGTTCATGATGTCGCCCATGTCAAATTCTATACGTTGACGAGTCTGGGATTTCCACGAGAAGTTTTACATCCTCATGTACGGACTCACCGCACAGCCTGGCGTCAACCACTTGCTTTTGTCTCACTCTTCATGGGGCACCCCTATGCAGGTCTGTCGTAAGGATATCTAGTGATACAACTACAGTGACTACAAAAGCCTCATATAGTGGGTGAGTCTGGTCTGGGGATACCGCACTCGGCATACCTCGCGTAGGGGTCATTCAAATTCCAGTCAAACGAGTTAGCGATGATTACACCGTTGCGGCTGGCTGTCCTGAGATGGAGCGACTGTTCTGCGGAGGCGTTTCCATAGACGTGTGCCACTCTATGCGAAGACATCGTCTCGCTCTTCTTTGTTGGGCCATGATGTCGAGCCGCTGCAGAGCAGGCGGTCCTGATTTCAGCCGCGATGTCTGGAGACGCTGTACCGGTCGCAGAGCCCGGTCCCTGATGCGGATGCTCTTGTACAAGACCCTGTTCCTGCTTGATACTGTCGCTCTCCTCGTCCGAGTCGCAGAGGAGGAAGGTCGACACATGGTCCTGTGGAAGCCTCTGTCTGGGGGACGCTTCGCTTGACGGGGTGATTCTCAAAGGTGAGAATACCGAATGTAGCTTTGAACACATGATGCTTGTCGGCGATTCCATCGCACCGAATGTTGGCTGCGGCGGGCGAATGGATGTGCTGTAAGTGCTACGTAGTAACACTCGAAAGAATCCCTGTCGGACGTGTCTGATCTTTGGGCTTGGAGGGGTTGGAACCAGTAAGTTGAGCCGGAAATGGAAGCTAACGGATACGATCGAACGGCTTGTCTGGACGCTCCGACTGTTAAGTCAAAGATGTAATGTGGCCCACACATGGCAGTAGTAGGTGGATGATGCCAGAGCTAGAGATTTGGAGAGCAGAAAAAACAACTCGCTGGCGGCCGTCGCTTCCCGCCGTGCGGAGAAAGCTCATCGAAGTGAACTTGCGGATGCCATTGTGACAGATGGAGACCGGGAACAGGACTGGACCTGCGAAAAGAGTACACGGCGAAGCAGGTCGGTTGTTGTGGGGCTGGGACAGCCTATCTTGAGAGCCGAAGCAGGCTCCTCATGTGTGAAGCAACTTTTGAACTAGCTATTGAAAAGATCTGGGTTGCGTCGCTAAGCAGACCAGCAGAAAGGGCTCCTCCACAATGTCTCGTGGAGTGTATAGACAAGGGGGAAAACCCCTGTTGTATGTCCGGAGAGAAACTCCACCAGGAGCCACAACCGGCTTGTGCCTCTTAATCGCAGCGACGCCGGACCTATTGCCGCACGGCCGGGATGGTATTCTCTCTATTTCGAATCCGACGGTGAAGTCGGCTTTAATAGAGCCAGGTCTCGATCTTGCAGACAGGGTACTGAATCAGGAAGCAACATCATTGTTGCGTGGCTGGGGACCATGTCGGCCAAAACCCAGAGCCGACACCTCTGCTGCTGAGAAGGGCTGAAAATGGATGTGGACGTTGTTTGAGTGACGATCCATGAGGATCAGATTCAATCCAGTCCATAGACAGGGTGGCCGGTCAAGCAGATGGTGTGTGGCTAGAAAGTCTGGCCAGAACTGGCGCCCCATGAGGACCAGAACGGATGTTGAAGACGGGGGCCTGGCCAGCAAGTGAGATCCTTGTCGTGACAGGGAAGGCCTTGTCCCAGTCGCCACAAACGACCTGCAACAACGAAATGGCAGCGGCTTTTCAACCCAGCGCCCGGAGCTCGGCCTCCAAATTGAGATGCCCATTTTAAAGAGCCAGTTGCGTCTCCAAATAGCAAGTTCTGGACACTGACGATACTCGAGGTTACGGGGAATGCTTTTTCAGGTTCCATCAACCTTGTGGGGAGTTCATGACTACTTACGGTAGCCCAGAATAGGTTAAGCGTCCAAAGCCAACGTAGAAACCACCTGGACATCTGATATCCACGTCAACCCGGACCGTACCTGATGGCTTGGATTCTGAAGTCATCTTCGGCTTGTGCCTAGATGAGCCAGAGACCACTTGCGGAACTACGGTCCACCGAAAGATGAATAGGATACATACCTTCTTGACATCTCAAGGAAGCACCGTAGCGCCTGAATAGCAAACTTTAGAAATCTTCTTGAATGAGAACGTCAAGTACGAGTCTATGTTAAATAGAGAAGACATTTTCGGCGCAGACCGCTGTCCCTTGGGACGAAGTCTCAATTTCCGCATCGGATATGAGGCCGGCGGACCTGCCTGCGTGATAGCCTCGTGTTCTTGCAACGCCAGTCTCTTCGTCACAGGCCACGTCGCCTCGCTCAGGACTACGGACATCACTCGCTATGAACTCTGTATTGCCAGAGCCGATCTCCCTAGACGTGGCGTGGCACATCTTCAATCACAGCGAACCCCATGTCCGGTCCAAATTCACACGATGCTCGCGCACTTGGCATTCGTTCTTCAACCCCAAGCTTTACCGAGACGATGTGAAAACGGGGCAGTACTCCGCCGTCTTCAACACCATTGCCAACTGTACAGATATGCGGGTGGCCCTCGCCACGCTCAGGCATACCTGCCGAGCCGGCGCTGACTACAATAGACCGGCCACCATGTATATGACCGAGACTCATGGGCAAAGCCCTTTCCTCGTTACGGCCCTGTATCTAGCCGCTTCGAAAGGCTATCCTGACATTGTATCGTTTCTCCTTGACCACGGTGCCGATATCGACGGGGTCCCGGACTGCCGGCTACGCACTCCCGTCTTCCTGTCTCTGCTCAGCGGAGACGCTAAGACGTCCATGCTTCTTCTTCGACGCGGCGCGCGGCTGGAGTCTCTCGAATTCGGAATCAATGCCCTCCATCAAGCCGCCGCCGCCGGACTTACCGAAGTGATCACGTACCTTGTCAACGAGAAACGAATGAAAGTCAACGAGGCCGACAACAACGGGGACACGCCACTGATTCACTCCCTGTTGTCTCCGTCGCCAGAGACAGTCATAGGTCACCTGGCACGGTTCGACGTGGATGCGAACCAGCCCACGACGATCGACACATGGCGCATGACGGCCCTCAGCATGGCATGCGAGGACGGCATGTTCTCCGCCGCCCTGGCACTGCTGAAGGCCGGAGCGGACGCCACGGGCGAGCTGGACGGCTTGATCGAGGGGGCCGACCCAGCGCTCCACATCTTCGAGCAAAAGCCGCTCGAGCTGGCCCTCCTGGCCCGGGTCAAAGGAACGGATGGGAGGACGGCAGCGGCGAAGCAACGCCTCATCGACGTCCTCCTCAAGTCAGGCGCTGACGCAAACGAATTGGTCTGCATATCGGCACGCTGCAACTGGACGGGACCTCTCTTGCTGAAACTGGCTCGAGCGAAGCGCCGCTGGGAGGCCGAGATGCTGCTTTCTTCCGGTCTCGTAGAGATTGACATGCGCGACTCACATGGTGCGACGAGTCTCGATTGGACACTTTCTACATGTCACGGGAACCCCGTGATGGCATCGATCTTGCTGCGGCGTGGTGCCAGGATGGACGAGGCAGTGTTGCGTGACATCATCGGCAAGCTGGCGCGGCTTGCGGACGCGCGAGATCACTGGACTGTGATCAGCCTCTTAACGCGAGAGCATAAGCTGTTGAAGATATTTCACGTGCTGTATTCGCACTGTTTCTGGGCGGCGTCCCAGGGTGGCGAGGCTGCCGCATCACGGTTTTTGCAAGAGTCGCCGAGGGTGATTGTGCGTCTCGTCACAGAGATGCTGAAGCACGGGGTGAGTCTGACGAAGACGGGCGTCTTGAACATGCTGCGAAATGCGAAGGAGAGCCGGCCGGGGCCGCTGATTGCAGGACTTTTCCAATCGGAAAGGAAGAGCGCCGCGCGGAGATGGTGCTAGTATGATAGGTTGAGATGGTAAGGGGAGAGATGGTGGGGAGAGATGGTGGGGAGAGATGGTAAGGGGAGAGGTGTACGATTGTCAATGTAAGAGAATCGGTAGCAGGAGCGGAAAATACGCAATCGTGATGAGTTTTTCTACCGAATCAATCCATCGCGGCAAATGTTACGCGGAGCCAGTGAAATGGTAAGCAGCTGCCTGTCCGAGACGGGGAGGCACATCCTCAATGGAAGGCGACGGGTGCATTGCTCATTAGGGGGCACATCGTCCCAAACGGCATTCTTCCCGATTAGAAATCAAGTGTTCTTTCAGCTACGTAGACGTATAAAACACAGGAATCTGCACCTTGGCAGAAGCGTAGGGCCACGTTGTTCTCGTCATTTTCACGAGCGCCTTATCACAGGTTGCCCGACCACTTCAGGAGACATGGGGTCAACGCTCGATGGCGGCCTTCCTGCTTTGGACCACTTTACAGCACAGCTTTTCGAGGAGTCGTTTCTTGATGAAGATGAGCTCAAAAAAAGAGAGGAGGTTGTAGAAGTCGCAAAGCATAAAGCTAGCCGCAAAAGGGCTCGTGTCGATATCTGTGAGTCCTTCCACCGTAACGTACGTATCGCCAGCAGCATCTGCTGACACGACAAAGCCAGTATCGATCCCGCCATGTCCGACGACACGTCCGAAGATGACCGCACGGCGCCAAACACGCCAGACACATGCAGAGGGTATAGCGACCTTGGGCAGAAAGCCGGCGAAGAATGTAGCGCAACCGTGTCAATTACTGCTGTAGCTGCGCTGGTGCAGGAGATTGCCAAGAACAAATGACCTGTTGTCATTTCTGTGGATTTCGACGGCAGTGGGAGGGCGATAGTAAGGGCGCGTGTTCCGTCTCATTACAGACATGTCCGGGAAGAAATGGCAGGGCTCCTGAAGAATTTTTGGCAAGATGCTGAGAGGGCAAACAGGCGGTAGGGGAGATATGTCGGTTCGTTTTGAGGGTCGCATTGGTTGGAAGACGCATCGCAACAACAAAACCAGCCAAGTCGTCTTTCCTGCCATACATCAAAGAATCTGTTCCATTCGACCCCTGGAATCCAAGCTATATACAGACACACATACAAGAGGTTGTGATTGTGCTTTTGCTGAATCTGTGGTTGCAGTGTTGCGTCTGGATCCCGCCGCTGCAGCTACGGCATTGCCGGAGGTAAGGGTCTGGCGCCTGAAACAGAGCGTTCATCGGTGAAAGAGCAGACATCTTTGACTCCGAGACTTGAAAGCATGCGGTTACGGCTACGTGACACCAGCGGACATGTACCTGCCTACGTGCCTGTATAAATTCAGAATTCCTGACGATGGCCAATGCCGACAATCCAGCTGTCTCGTCATCAGTTTCCCAGAAGTTCGCTTCCCTAAGGAGAACACCGCACATATAGCACTACCTCTCTCCAAGATATATCCGCGTCAACATGGTAGTGCGGCGAGGCTCGACAGTCCACGCAGCCTGGTCCTCATGCCTTGAGGTAGTTGCAGTCATCTGCACCGCCACGAGTGGCGCTTACATGTTCTATGGCGTGGTCGTGGGGATCCGCGACCCCCTCGAGTGGGATTGGCGGGACGCTTGTCAACTTTTGTGGGTCTTTGAAGACGAAGATTGTATCAAGGTATGGCAAGAATGCGTCGAGCGACCCCGGCCAAGCAACGCTGCTTGGGTGTCCCGTCTTCAGTGCATCGTGGGCTGCTACGAGACCGATGACGGCACCAATCTGTACGCCGTCAAGTGGGACGGCTACGCATGTCCGACGTGGGAAGCAGAAGAGGACCTTTACAATTACGGCCAATTGATGGCCGAGCATGATGAGACTTGCCAATGCGCGCCAGGCCTTGAGAGTCGCTATCAACGTAACGAGTGGAACGGACGAGGTCGGCGAAAAGTGGGCCCAGCCACGCCAGTTGCTGGTTCGCGGCCGACAGATGTAGTCTCGATGGCAGAGATCTAGGTCGAAGATAGAGCAAGTTTCTCTCGCTTTAGGCCATCGATCAACTTCCGCCGTCGTGTGGAGCGTCCAGATTTGGTGCATTGCCTTGTGTGATCTGACATGACCAGGGGTGCGCTAGCGAATCCAGAAGGAGCCCTCTTTTACACATACATCCCAGACCACAGAGCGGCTTCCGGATCATGGAAGGATCCAATG